AATTAACCGATATTTAACATCCCTAGTACACACTCCCCTCCAGGTCTGGTGGAAACACAGATGGATTTGTGAACTAAATGCATGGCTACAGCAGCTCTAAATATCAGAGCAAAAAGCAGGCCCCATCATGCTAAGCTCTGTACAGATACAGAGTAAAGAACAGTGCCTGCCCCAGGGTTTACACTCTGCACACACAAGGCAGAGGGGGTTGGAGAAAGGAAGTTTTATCATCTCCATCTTACAGACAAGGAAACAGGGCAGAGAGATGTGTAGGGTATGTGACACTACAGTTAAACACCTGTGGCTGCCAGGGCCGGCCTTAGGTCGATTCAGCCAATTCCCTGGTGTGGGGCCCTGCACCTGAGGGGGCCCTGCGCCCAGGGAAATGATGCATGCGCCGTGCGCCGGGAGCACGCCGCTTGTGCGGGGCCCCTGGGCGCACGGTGCATGTGTCGTGACGTCCCGGGCGCATGGTGCATGCGCTGTGCGCCTGGGGGGGGCATGCATGCATTGTACTCCCGGGGCACTGCGCATGCATCGTGACATCTGGGACGCATGGCGCATGCCTCCAGTGTGCAATGCATGCGCCGTGCCGCCCAGGGCCCCAGGCATGTGCGGCCCCGCCCCCGGAATCGGGCCCTGCGCTCTGTAGAGCCGGCCCTGGTAGCTGCCCTGGGTCAGCTGACCCAGGATGGTGAGGTTTGGGCTGCAGGACTGTAAAAGACACTCTTAGATCCTACAGCCCAAGCCTGAACAACCACCCCACAGCCCAAGCCAAGCCAGCTGCTACAACCGGCCCAGGAGTTTAACAGCAGGTTGACATACCCTAATTTACCCAGGAACGTCTTAAACCCAAAACTCAATATTTTGTATCTTGCCAGTGAATATGGATGCAGTGCTAAGCTTGAAAAATAGGTAATCCCTGAGGGTCTGTTTGCTGTATTTTATGGTTTTATGGTTTGTATCGGCTTAGCTATGGGGGCTCATCATACCATCTAAGAACATAAGAATGGCCATATTGGGTCAGACCAAAGGTCCATCCAGCCCAGTATCCTGTCTGCCGACAGTGCCCAATGCCAGGTGTCCCAGAGGAAGTGAACCAAACAGGTAATGATCAAGCGATCTCTCTCCTCCCATCCATCTCCACCTTCTGACAAACAAAAGATCACTGAGTTTATTCTTCCTACAACCCTCGGAGATCATGAAATACTATTTCAAGTCATCTCACAAATGGAAAAACTGAGGCACAGGGCTTCTTGCCCAGGGCTATACAGGAAGGCTGCGTCTAGACGCTCTTTTCCACAAATGCTTTTAACGGAAAAACGTTTCCGTTAAAAGCATTTGTGGAAAATCATGCCAGTCTAGACGCCGCCGAAGTCTGCCACAGAAGAGGGATTAAAACCCAGAACTCATGAACTTTCACATCGTGCCATAGAAATATAATAATTCACAAAACCATTCCTCTTCCCTCAGTTTGGAATGTGACTTTCAGCTCCAACTTAATTTGGCATTCCCTAGCAAATAACATTTCTCAGGAGCATTGCTGGAGCTATGGGCTCAAGTCATAAGGAGAATAAATGTTAGGTCATTCACAAGTGATCCCAACTGACTGATTTAAAGAGCAGCTTCCACAAGCCCCTAGGACCAGAGTGAGGATCGGTCATTTTCCAAAAAAAAATTTTCCACTGGGTAGCTTTGAGCCATGGAAACCATTTGCAGGAAAGGGCTGGTTATGACAAATCTCCCAGTTTAAACTTTTTTGAAAAAAAGTTTCAAAATTGTTGAAACATCCCATTTGGACATTTAAAAAGTTTCATTTATCTATTCAAAATGATTTTTCATATTGACCTTTTCATTTATATGAAAAAAGTTAAACGTTTTCAAGAGTGATCAAAACAAAAGAAAACATTTTCACACACACACACATTTCTAATTAGTATTGTCCATTCACAAACATTTGGAATTTTGATTTTTCATTCCATTATGGGACAGAAAAAAAATACCTTTAAATCTCAAGAACCCCTTGCAAGATAGGAAAATTGTTTTCTTCCCTGCCCAATGCTGCTGAGGAAAGCCCAATTAGTTCTCACTAGCAACAGATTTCTCGAGCATGACAAAGGGATTCTGGAAAAGAAGAGAAGAAAAACTGCTGCACCTCTGTGTATGTCTAAACTAGAAATGCTACAGCTGCACCACCCTAGCGCTATAACATAGAAATTTGCTCCAGCGACAGAAGACCCTTTTCTCTCACTGTAGTAAATCCACCTGGGATGCGGTAGCTAGATCAACAGAAGAATTCTTCCATCAATCTAATGCTGTCAACACTGAGGCATAGGTCAGCTTCACTACACATCTGATGGGACTTAATTTTTCCTACCCCTGAGTGAAGTAGGTAGATAGACCTAGCTGTGTAGCATAGACCAGCCCTGATAGTTTGCCAAAACAAGAGAGAAAATGACTTTTATGTAAGAAAACATCTAGATAACTCTGTATTTTCCCACCTAATTTCACCAGCACAGAACTACCTACAGCACCTACACAACATGATCAGCACTTCCAACTGCAGAAACCATTTCACGTGTGCTTCTTAAAGCGCCCATCTGAATTTTAACAACCTTATTTATAATGAATGCATCAACTTCCCTGTTCCTTCTGTAAAAGGCCCTGTGCAAACTCAGCTTCTCTAGTTCCAGAGGCCAAAAACGTCATAGTGAATGCTAGACCCAATGTATTTCATCCATACAAAAAGGCTCTAAGCACAGTCATTTCACAGCTCTGCAGGTAGGACAGGAAAGGCTCCAGTTTGCAATGTGCTGAGAACACAGAGCTCTTACGGACTTGCAATGGAGTGTTGGGTACCCAGTCCATCTGAAAATCAGGCTTTAAACATACATGACTTTTTGAAAAATAGTTTGGACCTCCCTGGTCCAGCACCCTCTGGAGCTGACTGGTCCTGGATGAGGGATTTTGCTGGACAAGGGGAGGTCATTTCTGGCCCCTCTGCTGCCAGCCCCACTTCCTGCCCAGCTGCCCCACCGGGCTTCCCGGCTCCCCTGACCACCCAGCTGGGTCACAAGCCTCACCCCAGAACTGAGCTGGGCCACATGCCAGCCTTCCTGGCTCCCTGGGGCAGTCCAGTTGGATCGCGCATGCTGGACTTCCCATCCCCCCAGCTCAGCTGAGTCATGTGCTGGGCTTCCTGGCTTCTGCCCCTGCTCCACCCCCCCAGCCCAGCTGAGCCACAGCCCAGCTGGGCCATGCTCTGGGCTCCTATGCCTGTCCCCCTGAATTGTGCTGAGCTCCCACCCCTCCCTGCATCTCGCTTAGCTCCTGGGCCCTCCACAGTGCACTGAAACTCTCTGATCCTGGAATACGGGTGGTCCTACTGGACCATGGATTTTGCCAGACCAGAGAGTTCTAGTTTATAGTGGTGCAACATGTACAAAGTAGGACATGGTCTAATTTCCATCTGAGAACCTAAGGGACTATACCGAGTGATAACAAAACATGCTCTTTCCAGACCCCTATGCTCACAGGCATCTTCTAAGAAACTAAATAGAGGAGAATGGAACACCGGGGCTAGGTTTCAGCTAAAACCCTCTCAGTTCATATTACCTGTGACAAAGGAGCTCCAAGTCTACCTACTTATTTCAGGCTATGTCTAGACTACAGAGTTTTGTTGGAAAAATGGCTATTTCTCCAACAAAACTTGAGTTACATCCACACTGCAAGCGCGTTCTTTCCACAGTAAATCGAAAGAACGGAGGGGGTTTTGCGGTATTGGTAATCCTCATTCTATGAGGAAAAGCTCTTTCGCAAAAAGGCATGTGTGGATGGGGAAGAGGGAGTTTTTTCGGAAGAAGAGGGAAGTAGAGAAAGCACAAGTGCCCTGGTGGCTATTCTGTCCATAGCAATCACTGCTTATATGCGAGATAGCATCCAGGCACTGTGGACGCTCTCTTTCAGAAGAAGTTTTTTTGGAAGATCTCTTCTGAAAAAAGCTTCTTGCGCAAAAAGCCTGTAGTCTAGACGTAGCCTCAGGGAAAATCTTCAACACCACCTAAGCAATTTAGGCACACAAGCCTTATTGAAACCTACTAGGACTGGTGCACCTAAATCTCTCATGCACCTAAATCCCCATAATCTTTCCTGGTGCTTATAGTAGTTCTCCAATGATGCTATTATAAAACGTGCACTGTTTGAGGATAAACAGCTGGCAACAGAGGCAGGCAGCTCCAGACATTCCAAACATTTGCCATATGCAAAAGCAGAAAGCAAGATTTTCTTTGGCATTTGCTGTTGAAAACTATAAAGGAATCAGCCAGAGGTTCTGTTTTTCCCTCTCAGTGGAATCTGGATCGAGTATCTTGGCATCTCTTTGCCTGTCATGGAACAAACAGACTGGCCACACCAACAATGGCTCTTCATCTTGTCATGACACTGTTATTTATGCTGCACTGTTATGGCAATGATCATAACAAATGAATCTGATGTTCATGTGGCCAACACATGTGCTGCCATTTAAGCACTGCACTGCAATTTATCATTAGCAGGCCAATGGTATGGTTAATAAAACACCCCAAAACCTAATAATCATTTAGGCTTGCTGGAGTACAATGTCAACATCCCATGGGGGGTGGGCAGCTCCTGTTAGTGCCAGAAGCAGTTGTAGGGACAGTGTCCTATGACCGAGTGGCATCCATATTCCCCCACTGTATCCACACTCAGTAACTTTCAACATTAGCAGCCTGTCCTGGGTGTTCCAGCTAAGTGTCTCCTGATGTCAATTTAAAGATCTTCAATGTTCCCTCTAATTTTTTCTATCGATGTGTGGAAAAAAATTTGGTATGTGCACTGATGCATGTGTGGATGTGCACCACCAATAGAAACACATGCTGCCGGCTGTGGTTGCGGTGGGCACTCTGCTAATCAGCTGGGCAGCATGTGAATCCCTCCTGGGTGGCTGCCCAAGTGCTCAGCATACAGGGAACACTGCTTACCTTGCCATTCTTTTTCACATCTCTTTCTTTCAGACATTTATTCTCCTCCTGACGGTAAACCCTGCAGCTTCCCCTGCATTATTCATTTTCACATAAGCTTGTTCCTCCCACTTCTGAAACAGGACAGGAAAGAGAAAAGAACATCAGTTGGCTTCCCCCCCAGTTACAAAGACCTGCCAGAGCCGTTCATTATCTCCTCCAGATGTGGTGTGTGTGTGGAAGAGACCCCCAACCGCTTTACTGAAATATATCAGTGGCTTGTGGATATAACAGCACCCCCCAGTAGAGCTGTTCTTTTGTCTTATGAGAGCTAGAGTTCAACTCTCCAGCAACACACCCTCATATTTAGTGTCTTCTCCCTCTTGATCCAAGGAGGCAGTGCAGAGCATGCTTGGACCTTCAGTCTTCATGGGCTAAACATGTCGATGAAAGTAACCCATGAGCTGATGGATAGATGGTGAACTGGTAATTGACGTGGCCATAGACTTGCTTGTTTAACCAAGATCCACCAAGGCAACTACACTCTACAAGGGCACTGCAGCTGGATTGGCCGAGGGTCTGATATCACGGCTTTCGTGGCAGCGCAAGTGCCTTAGCTGAGTAGGTCAGACTGAGACAGAGACCGATCATGTTCAAGTCTAAATGTACGACTGATTTCTCTCATAAAGCCTGGCTCAATTAGCACTGCAGTGTCTGCCCTGAGGCCAGTGCAGAAAGGGTGAGGAAGCGGGAGAGAAAGGCAAGGCAAGAAGGAAGCAATGTAAGAGACGGAGGAAGGGAAGGTGAGGAAAAGGCAGTGGCGGGGGGAAGGAAAGCACAGAGCCCTCTTCGGGCAGGCTCACTGCTATCGTTAGTTGATGGCTGTTGCTTAGCTACCGTGATGACAGGTGCCGTAGCAATACTTGAGAGAAACAGATCATGGACACATTCTTAGATACAACCATGACCTGGGATGCCGTCCCTTCTGGGGATCACAAACCACTACAACCAGGTGTAGCAGCTCACTCAAAATCCCAGCACACAACTCCAAGAGCAAAAGGGGACCAAGTTGGGACCAAGCAGCCAACAGGAGCAGGCCGTGATATTCAGAGTGCCTGGGGGAGAAGGAGAAGAGCCAGGAAGGAGCACATTTCCTTCCGCTCTATGAGCCTATGAAAAAACATGCAAGGAACAACAGGTAACAAGAAACAAATATACCATTGGGTATAGCTAACAGATCCACCCAACAGTCCATCAAAGGCACTGCCCTGCCCAGAGAAAGGCAAGCAGCCCCTGGAATAACTAATCCCCTGGGGATAACTACACATTTTGAATGCTCTCAAAGGAGAGACTGAATTAAGTTCGAACTAACGGAGCACTAGTGTAGCGCCTAACGTCCGTTAGTTCGAACTAACTTTGTAGTGTAGACATACCCCTGGGGATAAGTACACATTTTGAATGCTCTCAAAGGAGAGGTCCCATGAGAGCAATCTTGTCAAAATGTGACAAACTGCAAAATGGATGAGTGCTGTGTAAACAGGAGTGTGTGTGGAAAGTGTGTGAATTTATCACTCCACAGTTTGGATTTTTCACACCTCCACACAAAGTAGTTGTACCATTATAAGTCTGTAGTGTAGACCTGGCTTTAGAAAGAGTCTGTCGATGCTGAGAAATAATCTTTGTCATAGATGCACAGAGGTTAAGGCCAGAAGAGACCATTAAATCATCTAGTCTAGTCTGACCTCTGGTATCTTTCAGGCTATTAGATTTGACCCAGTTATGCCTGTACGCAGCCCAATAACTCCTGTTTGGTTAAAGCATTTCTTCCAGAAATGCAGTCATTCATAATCCAAAGGCATCAGAGACTGGCAGTTCCCAGGACTTCCCTGGGTAGTTTATTCCAATGTTTTATCATCCCCCACCGTTAAAAATAAGTGCCTTGCTTCCAGTTTGAATGTATCTAGCTTTGGCTTCCAGCGATTGGTTCTTACTATGCCTTTTTCTTGTTGAACGAAAGGGTCAGTATCTAGTATTTTCTCCCCGGGAAGGTACAAGGTACACTGCCTCTTTTTGATAAACTAACCAAACTGCTCTGCCAGTCTCCCACTCTAAAGTCTATATATCCTCGCCATATCCTCCACAGCCTCCCCAGTTCATTTTGGGGGCTTTTTTCTAGCACTCGCTCCAATTTTTCAACATCCTTTTTAAAACGCAGCACCAGAATATACCCTATTCCAGTACTGGTCTCACCAAGGCTGTGTACAGCGGTAACCCCATCCATCTCCCCTCCCCCCCCCCCCTCCCATTTCTGCATCCAAGGATCACATTAACCGTTTGTGCCACAGCATTGCACTGAGAGCTCCCATTCGCTTGCACCTTCATAGACCCCTAAATCCTTTTTGGAGTCACTGCCTTGTAGGGAAGTAAAAGGTTAAAGGTTAACCGGTTACCCAGTAAGCACTATCGGCATGTTTACCGGGTAACTGGCTAACCAGGTAACCAGTTAACCGGAGGGCCTGGCTGGCAGGAGCAGCCCCCCACCCACAGCAGCCCAGCTAGCAGGACCCTGACTGCAGTAGGCCAGCAGGATTGGAGCAGCCTTCACCCACAGGACCTGTGGCCTTGCCAGGGCTAGGACTGGAGCAGCCCCTGCAGCCTGGGGCTAGTGGTTAACCAGTTCAACAAATTGCTTAATCGGTTAACTATTTTAGGCATTTTTTTACATCCCTACTGCCTTACAGAATACAGTCTCCCATTCTATAGGTATTGCCTGCTTTCCTTGTTCCTACATGTATCATTTTCCATTTGACAATATTAAAACATATTTTACTTGAATGGGCCCAGTTTACTGAACAATCCAGATTGTTGTGTATGTGTGCCCTCTCATAGCTGCCAATCTTTGTGTTATCTGCACATTTTATCAGCTGTGATTTTTATATTTACTTCCAGATCATTGAGGCAAATACTGGATAGTATCAATATCAATTCCTGCAAAGCTCCTCTACAGACATCATGATGATCCCTTGCTGGAAACTACTTTTCAAGAGCTGCCAGACAGTTCTTAATCTATTTAACGTGGGCTTTATTGATACTAGATGGTGCTGATTTGTTATTCAGATTGTTCTGCCAGGCCAAGTCTTATAAAAGTCTATTACAGCCGTGCAGTTACCTTTATCAACCCAACTTCTCAAAGGATGAAGGTTTATTTGACAAGATCTCTTTTGTAATGTTGATGGGCATTCATTATATTTCTATTATTTAATTCTTTGTCAGTTGCAACCCATATCAGCTTTCCTATTATTTTGCCTGGAATGGATGTAAGACTGATCAGCCTACAGTTAAGTTGGGTCATCCCGCTTGTGTTTTTTGGACTATTGGCACAGCATTCTTCCCGTCTCCTTGATTTCCCCACTGCGTCTGCTAAAGCATGCAGGTTACACACAACAATGTGAAGGTGGCTGTGCATGCATGTTGCACATGTGTGTGCGCTGCTTATTTCAGATTTAACTGTCCAAGAAATACAGTCAGTGAGACTATTCATCTCGGGACCCTTTTTGAAGAATTTCCTTTTTTTAAATGGAAACCAGAGTTGCAGCCTCAGTAGAGTGGAAACAGAGACTCTGTGAGTGGAGGGAGGGCTGGCTCTGGCACTACAATGTGGAACAAATTATAACTGCAAAGGCAAAGGAAATGAGAAGATTGCGGACCAATAGATTTAGACTTACACCACTCCACTATGAAATCCTGACCTTTTACAGATCCAAGCCCAACATAAAGTGAACTAATGCAGACCGTTTGCTTTGGTGAGGTGTCGTCTGGCCCCACCTTCACCCTGTAAAATAAGGATGGAAACTGAGGAAAATAAAAATCACCACTGAAATTGACTCTGGGATTAACTTCCTGTAATGTGTGGGATTCGGAGCCTATGGCGGCAAATGGGAAAGCAGGGTCAAATGAGAAAGGTTGGACTAGTCAGCAGTTCTCCAATCAGCTGTTAGATGGAAAATTCTTTTGCTTGTTCAGTATAAGGGAACATTTAATACAGTGATAAAGACTTGAAGAGAAAACATGGACTTGTCAGTTTGAGACTCTCTCAGCTCTCTGTTCCTCACTGGAAGACTTCACATTCCTTGTGTAGGGACGGCAGGATGCCTCTGGAAATGCCTTTGTAATGTCAAACATACCCCCCTCCTTTGTCCAGGGCCTTACTATCAAGTCTGTCATGTAGAGACTGACAGTTAATCAGTGGTGTTGCATTTGTCATATCTCGGGCCTGATCCAACTCCCAGGGAAGACAACAGGGATCTTGCCACTGATGTCAACCATTGGGCGTTAAACTCCATCAAGCATTGTTAATTATTATTATTTGTATTTCAGCAGCACCTGGGAATCCCAGCCATGGACAAATGCTTCATTGTGCTAGAGGCAGTAAAATCACAGAATAAAAAGATGGTTCCTTGCCCGAGAGAGCTTACAGAAATCAGGTCTCACTGCACGTTTGCCAACTGCCATCTACAGCTATGGCACGACTTGACGATAAGAATCGGGGGCCTGATCCGACAAACTGCAGAGCACGTTCTACTGCTGAAATCCACAGGGGTCTTAACATTGTAAAAAGGCGTTTTGCTGACAGCACTGGCCCTGCAGTAGCGTCCATGTACAAATGACAACCCCCTGAGCCCTGTACTGTAGGCAAGAACTATATTTTAAAGCGCAGGTTTGCTCTCTGCTTGCTTCCAAGCATCTGCACCTCAACAGACTAATTAGGAGTTCTTAATTATCTCTGGAAAAATTAACTGCTCCCGTACAGCGCTGGAAATAGGCAATCCCAGAGCAACTGACTAGCTCCCCTGCATTTTCCTCACGATTCCCTGAAGTTATTTAAACTCCAAAAGAAATTGCTCTGCTCTCCGGTGGGCAAGCGTATTGCAAATATTTCCCAGAGACCTTCTGGGATGGATGAGGGCCCCAATGTGGTGAAATGCATTGCTTCGGTGGGGAAGGGAGTGAAAAAGCAGCAGCACTACCCCCCCCCTTCCCCTTCCCTTTTCCCTTCCCAACCATCAGCTTTGCTTCTTTACAGCCTGGTGTTATTTGCAAGGCAGCAGGGTAGGTTTGGTCTCCAAGGGCAACCAGACAAGCCTCAACTCTCCCTCTCTGGCTTCACTTTCTAATGAAAACAAACATCCCAGCGCTAGCCGAGCTTCTGGGTCCAGCGTCTGCGTCCCTCTGCGTGGGTTTGCTGGGACCCGGCTCAGGCAGGCGGGACAGCTGCTGGAACTCCGCGTGCGTCTCCTGTCGGCAGCAGGGTAGGTTTGGTCTCCAAGGGCAACCAGACAAGCCTCAACTCTCCCTCTCTGGCTTCACTTTCTAATGAAAACAAACATCCCAGCGCTAGCCGAGCTTCTGGGTCCAGCGTCTGCGTCCCTCTGCGTGGGTTTGCTGGGACCCGGCTCAGGCAGGCGGGACAGCTGCTGGAACTCCGCGTGCGTCTCCTGTCCGTCTGGTACTGCCCTTCCCTGCCAGCCCCGGGGGCTCTCCTGCCTCCCGCACCCCCTTTTTCGGACTGTCGCCTCAACTTGAAAGCCACTTTAGTGGGTCTCCCCTCCTCCCTGCTCAGCCTGCCCCGGGCTGGCCCCATCGGTCCCTTCCCTGCCCCGGGCTGTGCCCGTCCCTTGCCCGGTGCACCCCTCGGGCTCCGCACCCCACGCCTGCCCGCACCGAGTCCTTACTCACCGTCCCTGGCCCCAGGGCTCCGCCGCGGGTCTCCTCGGGCGTCTCCCCCGGCTGCAGAGGGCAGGAGCCGGCGGCGCTGGCCGAGCCCGGAGCGCTCGCGTCCCGCCAGCCCGGGCGGAGATGGCCGTGGCGTGGAGGCGGCTCCGCGGCTCCAGGGCGCCACCTTCGGGATCCTCAGCGCCACGGCCTGGGGGTCCCGGGCTGGGGAATCGGACCGGCCCCGGCGTCAGACGGTGCAAAACAGGCACCCGGCAGCCGCCAGCCTCTGCCTCCCGGGTGTGCTGAGCAGCTGCCAGCTTCCACTCCAACGGTGGTCGCCCCTCAGGCATGATCCTTGGGGCCTCCTTGACCTGCTTCATGGGTTGCTGTGGGCTCAGGCACCGGCCATGAGGTGCTGTACAAACACATGGCCAAAAGGAGGCCCTGCCCCCAAGAGTTTACACCCTGCTGTCCAGCCAGTTCTGCTATAGCGAACTAGCCACGCTCAGCCGGCCACATGTGGCTAGCAGCTAGCGTGTTGGACACCACACTATGCGGCTGAGGTGATGAGCACGAGCGCCGTGATCCTGGGGTGGCTGGCATCACAGGAGAGGAAATTCTGTGAGTGATGATTTGCCCAGGGCTGCAAACGTGCTAGGAGCTGTACAAAACACAAACATTCTTACCCTCAACTTTGCTCTTCTGAATGGACTGTCAGGTGTTTGTATGAGAGGCCACTTCCCACCCTATTTGTATTATGGCCACACCCAGACTATGTCTACACTGGCAGGTTCTAGCACAAGAACGGCTGTTCTTGTGCAAGAACCGGCAGAGCGTCCACACTGCCCGCTCTTGCACAAGAAGATTTACAGTACGCTGTCGGAAGACAGGGCTTCTTGTGCAAGAGCTATGCTCTTTTCTAACAAGTGTAAGCCCTCTTGCACAAGAGGTCTTGAGCAAGAGGGCAGTGTGGAGGCAGGGGGTTCCTGAGCAAGAAAGCCCGATGGCTAAAATGGCCATCAGAGCTTTCTTGCACAAGAGAGCGTCCACACTGCCATGGATGCTCTTGCACCAAAGCACATGGCAGTGTGGACATGTTCTTGTGCAAGAGCAAGCCCCATTGTGTTAGGCACTGAGGAAGCATCTAAGGTAGAGCGAGAGAGTCCTTGTGTCATGTGGTTCACAATCTAAATGGACAAAGACAAAGGATGGGAGGAGGAATAAGGCCTTGTCTATAGTGCACCAGATTAGCTGAACTGATTTGGTTAAACGGATTTCATTAAACTAGTGCGAAGTTCAGTTTGGATATCCTCCCTTGGGTTTAAAAGTGGCCATTTCAGATTGCTTGTTAATGCAAGTCAGTAACCAAATCAATAACCCATTCTTAACCAAACGGCTTATTTCTGCTTTTGAAAATCTCCCCCTCGATTGGCTTTTGAGCAGGAGATCTGGATAAAGTGGCCTTAATGAAGATGGGCATGGGAAGGTGGGAGGAGGCTGGAAAGACTCCCTCCACACAGATAGTTTTCTGTCTCTAAGCCACTCTATCCCACAAGGGTTTGTTTTGTGGGGAAGTTCCCTCCCCCCCCCATATAAAATGGTGGCAGAGACTTTCTTTTTTGATATATTGCAGCCAAACCTCCTAGTGCACTGTGGCCCAAGATGTGGAATATAATGTGGAAGAAATGAAATACGATTGCGCAGGCATCTGTAAACAGCATCGGATTAGTTTCTACATCAGGGCTACTCAACATGAGACCCACAGCCTGTTTGTTTGCAGCCCCTGGTGCTGATAGGGTTTACACAGGGCTCAACATGCAGCCCACGGGTGGGATCCTTTGAACATGGCCTCCACTGGGAACAGGAGTGGTCCGAAGCTGGCTGCTGCAGCTGGCGCCCCAGGCAGAAGGCACGATCAGCATCTCCACTTGCACAGCCGTCAATGGCCGTGATGTCATCACCAGGTGCCCGGGCGCCCCATGATGTCATCATCGGGCGCCCGGGCCGGCGGCGCCCTAGGCGACTGCCTAGTCTGACTAGGTTCACAGGCCACCCCTGACGGGGAACACTCTCTCCACAATGGCGCGTCAATATAATGGTCTTCTGTTGATATGCATTTTAGTAGTTAAATTCCTGGACCGTCATTGCTCATTAAAAGTGTTGTCATATGGGTGGAAATAGGGTAAATATTGCATTTTATTAATATCAGCAGAACTGACTTAAATGGGACCTGCATGTTGTGTAGTCTTGCCTTAATCTTTGTATTCATGCTCGTCAGTGTAAAAGAATCTATTTCCATATATTTGCCTATATATTTGCATGTACATGCAACCACACTTAAGTTGTGGCCCTCGTCATGTGCTGTGAGTATCATTGTGGCCCCCTGGGCTTCCAAAGTTGAGTAGCCCTGGTCTACATGCTAATTTTCTCTGCTCTCAGTCCCATCATTCAGCATTCCAGGTGTCATTAACTTATGTTAACCAATGTGCAAGGAGACCAGGCCTTTTTGGGTTCTGGAAATGAGATTCTGGAAATTAGAGTGTCTGTGAAACAGCTGTGAGAAGAGAGCAAAGCCTGATGGGTAGATCTGCCTGCCTATCCATCTCCTTTTGGGATGAATCCCCATCAGGGCAATGAGATAAAGTGGCCAAGAGGGAGAACTGCTTACCAAATGTGCAATGTGTAATGTGACCAGGATTCATCATCAAATTTGGACTGCTGGTTGGATCATTAGCTTCCCCGGCGAGGGCTGGGTACTGACAGGGAACGTGATGTAAATGCTGATCCACCCCTCTTTGGACCTTAGCTTTCTAAGCACACTTGTGATAGGCAGGGGGATGATGAAGACCAGAAGTGCAAAAAGGGTCTGGAGAAAGTGAACAGGGAATTCTGATTTTACCCTTTCATATAACACAAGAACTAGGCATCGCCTGATGAAATGAATAGGCAGCAGGTTTAAAACACATATAAGGGAGTTCTTTACATAACACACCATCTACTTGTGGAACTTGTTGCTGTGGATGTTCTGAAGGCTGCAAGTATAAATGAGTTGAAAAAAGAATTAGATACGTTCATAGAGGATAAATCCAGCAATAGCCATTAGCCAGGATGGGCAGGGGCACAAGTCCACACTCTAGATGTCCCTCAGCTGCCAAAAGCTGGGACTAGGGATCACTCCAAATCGCCCTCTGGGGCAAGTGGCATTGGCCACTGTCAGAAGGCAGGACACTGGGCTAGATGGACCATTGGCCTCACCCAGTATGCAGCACCCTTCTGAGGGGGTGCAGGGCCTGGGATACCCCTCCACCTATCCCAGGCTACACTGCCGCTCTGCCTCTTCCCACCCCGGCTCTGCCCCTGCTCCCCTTCCCGCTCCACCTCTTCTCCCAACCCCCACACCTGCTCCCCTTCCACCCCACCTCTTCCCACTCCTGCTCCATCCCCATTGCATTTCTTCCCCCAAACTCTGTCCCCCCCCATGTAATCTACAGCCATCAACGTATGGTCCATCTCCACGGAAGCCTTTCTCTACAAAAGCTTGCAAGGGAGAGAAGCAAAAATGACCGGTTGGCCCGAGGGCAGTGAATTAGCAGCTCTATTTTGCAGCAGAGCCCTGCTTTGAGCAAAGGGGGCCTGCCTGGCCATTGGCAAACATAAGACAACATTACAGGAGAGGCTCTGCCTCCCCCTTGAAGTTCTGACGAGCCCCAGACTCAGCCTGGGGGAGAACGTCTCTCAGGACTTTGATAATTTTCAAGGGCAAAGTCACTGTGGATAAGACATTCCTTTGCTAAGCCTGTGTTTTTTGCTTGCTTGGCAGGATCTCTCCGAAGGAATGAGTGTCCACAGTCCATGTAGAGCTCTCAGGGAGTGCCTGAGATGGGGCAGGGGAGGCACTAAGAAGGTCTCAGACAGTGTTTTTTTCTGGCAAGGGAGGTCGTGTCCAATGTCCCAAGGAAGGGTGGAAGATGAGAGGTCCGGGCCCAGCAATATGCCTGGTGTTCCAGAGCTAGAAACAGTAATGAAACTACCCATACCTAGTAGGCTCAGCCCAGCAATTAGGTCCACTCACACAGACAGTTGACCATACAGAGGGATACAGAGCCAGTTTATAAGTAAAGTGGGTAAGGAAATATGCTCAGTTATTACAGCACATATTTACCACACATGCCGCTAGGATGTCCGCGCTTCTCAACATAAACAGGCATATACATCCCATCATCCCTGCCTGGGAGAGGAGGGATGCAGGTCAGAGCTCACACTCCATGGCCCTCACCCTCCAGCAAGGGGAAACAGACTGTATGCCGTTGGAGAAGAACTCAGAGTGAATTTTTGGAGCCGACTCAGATTTCGGTCTCAGTTACTCTGGTGTGAATCCAGAATGATGCAAATGAAGTCAAAGGAGTGAACACTGAGGAGTTACACCAATGTAACTGCCCTCTGGCCTCTCATGTGAGCTGATAGCATTTCCAGGTAGCAAATATGCAAAGCTGGGGAAGTGAGAAGCCAGAGGGTGCATCTACACTGCAACCGCAGGTCCAAATAAGATACGCAATTTGAGCGACGCAAATTATGTATCTTATTTTGATCTCATTTCGAAATAGCTTATTTTGAAATTTGGCGCGGTCTACACATTCCTTTGTGGAATGAGGGACACAGGGATGCTGGAATAGCATGCCTCTTATTTCAAACCGTATTTTAAAGATGCGGAATAGCTATTTAAAGACTATTTTGAAATAGTGCTGCTGTCTAGATGTAGGCTGAGTGGGCTGAGGATGGGAATTGGTTTATAAATCCCAGGAGCATTCTCATTATCAGAATCCATTTGTAGCATGCTGCTGATCTGTGTATTGACTCAAAAAGAGTTTAGGTGCAGTTAGAAATGAGAGGCCAAATCCTGTTCCCACTGAAGCCAGTGGAGGGGCTTGTGGTTCCTGTTCTGAATCCTGAAGCATATGGTCATTACTGGGTCTAAGGGTCCCTTTACACATCTCACTTGGCTTCCCCGCTTTCATCATGTCACACACACCAGCCTCTGCTGAGTTCCACCCACTGGCACAAGTGAAAGGAAGAAGACTAAAAATAACAGGCCAGAGGCAGCAAAAAGATGTTTGGAAATGAAGCCACTGTGGTGACTTT